CACACACACACACACACACACACACACACACACACACACACACACACACACACACACACACACCAGCAGCAAAGAGGCAGATGACCTGTGCTTGTATGTCTGTTAATTAATTGTGTATAATTTATTTTTATCCAAGTAGTCCCAAGACCAACCATAATTAAAAATGAATATACAGTATAGCTGACTAGACTAGTCTCATGAAATTTGTTTGAGCATATATAGGCAGCCATTTAAATACCATTAAAAGTTCAGCTTACTTGAGGCAAACAAGACATTTCTTTTAGCCACAACTAACAACGACAGAGAAATTTTATGTGAACGGCTAACCTTATCCCTAAATCATATTCCCATTTCCCAAGTCTCTGAATGGCTATATCTTGGTTGGATTCCCATGGATAGGTTTACTAGAATTAAAACCCAGTTAACATATACATTCCCTGTGTTGTCTTCGTTTTGTATCATTATATAATTATGGCCATGATTACTTGTTGGAGCTCAGTCAATTTTAAAACCTGGAGTGCAACGTTGTCTGAATTAAGTCAAATGTTTTCTGAGTTCAGCCACATTCAGGCATGCTTTAAAGACTGTCAGTGCACAACTGGGCTGTGGTTAAACTTGTGATGACCCGTCTCCAGCGATAGTCAGGAAACCGTGTCTGAAGCAGAAGTGTAAAAAACCTCTGGAGGCCCAGGAATCTTACAGCTGTTCATGTGCTGAGAGGCATGATCTGAGCCTAGAGTAAGAACAGAGAACCTGCAAGCAGACATCTCCCTTCCCTAAGCCAGAACGTCTAAGCTGGAGCCCACCTCTCCAACCACAGTCACCCACAGCGTGGGGTGTTTCAACAACCTCTTTGGTAGAGGAAAGAATTAAATAGCTGTAAGTCTTCAAGTGAAATTGCAAACCTTTCAGCTCAAGAGTTGCTCAGAGAGAGGATGTTGCCTAGAACATCTGCACATTCTCTTGGATTCTGGAACTTGTTGGAACAACTTTCCTTTTCCACGGAAGTCCAGTCTTGCAAGTATCCTTGCGAATAACCTTTGCTTTCTACTGGTCCCCTGGGAACCGCTTATGGTTCCTCTGGCAGAGTTCCCTTCCTTACAAGCATAATCCTTCCTGCTCACATTCAATTCCAACCTGAATTTCCGCCTCCCTTCTCCAATGAGTTTTGCAGATCATTTGGACAAAATCCAGGCAGCAGTCAGTTGGCTAGTTTATTGTTACTGACAGGGCAGAGCAATTCTTAGCCTATCAATTAAAAGACCTCATGTGCAACTATTCTGTATTTTTCCACTAAATTGAGAGGTTAAAGGAAAAATGGAAATTGAAGAAATGGGGACACAGATTAGGGACAGAAATGAAAAGTAAGATGTGTATGTCTTAGTAAAATCTATCAGTGTGTCAGAGCATTTATCTGACAAAAGCATCATCAAGATAGCGTTCTTAGGACAATCTGGCTGTGACTGCTTGATGGTAAGATTTGAAGGACAATGTTTGGGAGCAAAGGTACGCTGATTGAAATCTGGTTTTGCTTAAACATGGATGCTAGAAAAAAAGTCACTGCTAAAAATAAGCCTAGAAAACATGCACAATAATGGACCAAGTCAGAGGAAATGAACTAGGATTCCAGAGAACAGAATTCCTTGGACAAAAAAATTCCACGGAACACAGATTTTAAGTGGTTGAGAAATGAAAAATAAATATAACTGTGTAGCAAGAGAGGCGTGGGAAGAAAATGGGAAAATATCATCATTCATCCCAAGAAGCTTTGGCGTAGAATACTATCACCTCCTAAACCCCCACAAAGCATATTTTGTGTTATCTTAAACAAAGCTGGTTTTATTTCAAAAGTTGTATATATACAGCACATCAAAGCAACATAAACAGAAAAGCATTCATTCTGCCTAATATTTATGTCATATGTTTACTAATGGAGATTTCAGGACAATGCCATGTGGCTTCTGCAGAGCAATGCTTGCTCTGTTGAGTCAAGAAGTAACAACAACTCTTTGCAGATGCTATAAGGTAGCCAACTTCCCTGTAGAAGGAAGTGATGAGATATGGTCTATTCTCTGCCTCCTGAGTCCCAGCTGATTGGAAGGGAATGAGGATTTTGCAATAACCTTCCCCTGGAGTGGGGAGGGAATGGAGATTTTGCAGTATCCTTTCCCTGCCATGCCCACCAAGCCACCCCCACAGAACCAGTAGTAAAAAAAAAATTGAATCCTACCAATGACTATGGCAAAGAAAAGATTCAGATGGTTTGAAATGCCAAGCCCTTTCTAAACTTCTGGTTGACTGTGTGATGAACCATAATATTAACAACTCTAGTTACAAAGGAGCATACATGGGCATGGGATGCTATAAATATGCCAGTCAGCTGAAGAAGAAGAAAAAGGGCATTGGAAGAATATCTGAAGGACAGAGAAGAAGATGCACTGAATCTAATGAAGGCATATTTAGATTTAGATTTAAAGTTTATTTATATGCCGCCCTTTTCCCTGGGGGGACTCAGGGCGGCTTACAACTTAAAAAGGGGGGGGAGACAAACTTTTAACATATAAGACAAATACATAATTAAAACACAACATTCATACTATTCGGGCGGGTTGTAGTCTTAACCCCAGGCCTGACGGGATAGCCAGGTTCTGAGGGCTGTGCGGAAGGTCTGGAGGGTGGTGAGGGTACGAATTTCCATGGGGAGATCGTTCCACAGGGTCAGAGCTGCCACCGAGAAGGCTCTCCTCCACGTAGTTGCCAGTCGACATTGACCGGCAGATGGGACTCAGAGGAGGCCTAACCGGTGAGATCTAATAAGTCGTGTGGAGGTAATTGGCAGTAGGCGGTTTCTCAAGTATCCAGATCCACTACCATGGAGGGCTTTATGGGTGGCAAGTAGCACCTTGAAGTGCACCTGGAGATCGACAGGTAGCCAGTGCAGCTCGCGGAGGATAGGTGTTATGTGGGTGAAACGAGGTGCACCCACAATCGCTCGCGCGGCCGCATTCTGGACTAGCTGAAGTCGCCGAATACTCTTCAAGGGCAGCCCCATGTAGAGCACATTGCAGTATTCCAGCCTAGAGGTCACAAGGGCATGAGTGACTGTTGTGAGAGCCTCCCGGTTCAGGTAGGGGCGCAACTGGTGGACCAGGCGAACGTAGGCAAATGCCCCCCTGGTCACAGCTGACAAGTGATGTTCGATGGTCAGCTGTGGGTCCAGGAGAACTCCCAAGTTGCGAACCCTGTCTGAGGGGCGTATAATTTGACCCCCCAGCCTGAGAGAATACCAGGGAGACCAAACTGGCCTTCAAGAAAGGCAAATAGAAAAGAGACATGGCAAGGCAAAGTATTTCATGATTAGTACATAAAAAAAAAGAAAATAACAGGCAAAGCATATAATAACAAGACTTAGCAATAGCTAAGAGTTGGAAATTTGAAGAAAAAGACAGAGGGGTTAATTTTGGCTGCCCAAGACCAAGCCTTAAAATAAATGGATACAAAACTAGAATTGAGAAGACAGCAACAACAACAGACAGAAAATGCCACCTCTGCCAAGAAGCTGAAGAAAGAGTGGACCACCTAATTAGGTGCTGCAGGAAGTTCACACAAATCCAAATTGGTGGGAAGGTAACTAAAGGAACTTAATCATATCATAATAATTGGATCCAATCTCTTGCTCTGTTGCAAAGTCAAACATCAGGTTGACGACATTCTCCCAATAAACAGAGCATTATTTCCTCCAAAGCATGCTGTGAAACTAAAAATAATCTCAGGAAGTTTGGCTCCTTCTGGAGCATTGGCTCTAGCCCACGAACTGAATGTTGGTGGTCTTGCATGTTGCCACTGTATATATTTGCCCTGATAATATTTACATGATTTCTCAGTTGTATTATTGAATCTTACAGTTCTTCAGAAATCTGTCCATCCATCATCATCACCATCACAAGGGATGACATATTTTTTCACAAAATAGTATGTTTTTCCTTTGGAAGCATTCCAATATGCAGGGTATTCCATGGGCCTTCTCCGCTTTGGAATTAAAATGCTGTTTTAATGATACCAGTGTGATTTTTATTACTTTGTTACCTATCTGAATCCTGCCTCAAGCATATCTCCTCTCGTTCCTTACTGAATAGTACCATTCATGCCCCATAATATCGATAGGCAGCGATGTACTGGTTTTTCTGCAGGTTTTCTACCACACGTCGCCAAATGACAGAGAAATTATATCTATCAATCACACTACTGTAACTTGGAATGGAGCCAATTTGATTTCAGGATACTTAATTACATTTTCCTATGTCCTTCCTCTCTTGCTGCATTCTATCACAATCCGAGCTGAGTAAACTTTTTTTAAAAAAATTAGTCAAGCGGAGAACTAAACCCCAAAGAAGCTTTATAAGTCTTTCTCAGCCCTTTCTTTTGTTTCTTTTATTTATTTATTTATTTAGGTTTGTCAAGCATATGTGAGAAAACAAGTATAAGTATGAATGTAACTATACATGTTAACTTTTAAGTATAAACAGGTGTAAGTATATACATAAGAAGTGAGGACAAATAAATGGGGACAGTAGGACAGGGATGGTAGGTAC